TACAATCCAGGATGGCCTGAACGGAAAGATTGGAATGGAGGGAAACTGTTCAAAAGGAAATCATGAGGAGTAGCAATCTTCCAGAAAAGTACATTCTAAAGTTTTGCTTGTATTTGATGCCAAATAAGTGGGCTTCGAAGGTCACTCTTTGTAGTAGAAAAATGCTTACAAATTTTGCTTTCCATTCACGGGACAGGATGTACTTAATAAAGGTACCATTCAGTAAGGTAATCGAATTTCTTGCTGAAAAATTCTGCTCGGTTAGCAGTTTATTTATAACTCCACCGAAGAGTTCCTGGTTATTTGACATTAGTGATAATTCGAGCAACAAATGGGAACAAATTTGGGTATTTCTATTCAGAGTACCATTATTTATAATGAGAGCATTACAGAAAATGAATACTTCCCTTCAACGACATATTATTTTATTTTATACTCGGTTAATTGAAGACTGTTAAGGGAAGCGGACGTCTTTCAATCGTTTGCACGCATCCCTACCATGGACAAACAAAGCTCTTGCAAAAGCTTTTCACGAGTTGAATAGCCCTCTTATGAGGACGATATTGGAAAAACCATCGAAGGGGCTGGGGATGCTATCAGAGGATTACCAGTGATCTTACGAATGTCTGAAAGACCGTACTCATTTGGAATCAGTGTATATTAAATGATCCGAACCTCAACAAAACCAAAAAGGACCTGAAGAGCCCTAGAGCAAAATTAGGTAAAAGGAAATGAGGATAAGGAAATGAGAATTAAGAGGAAATCTGCCTCTGTAGCACTACCTATCACCCCGAATGCCACTACCGTTCCATCTACGACATCGCCGCTTACCAGGTTACCCTTGCGGTACGTTTCTGTGAAACAATCACGTTCGAAATGTGAAACTTGTTTCTCTACCTACGCAATTTTCCTTGACTAAGAACGTAAAGCAGAGAGATAGAAGCGATTGAAGTGAGCGGGCTTCAATTTCCTTTAAGATCGGATCAGAAATGAGCCGATAGTGATTGGTTGAAATCAATGTCGAAAAATCTTCAAAAACGTCCAACAATAAGTTGCCTCAAACAGGGTACATACCTGTGTGTGGAGGAAATTGGCCAGAAAAATAGTAAGTACAAAAAAGGGCAAACGTCTTGGAACGAAACTCACCATTGCGATGACGGTATGATTGAGGATCGAAGCGTCGAGTGGGACGAGTAGGACGTGGAGCCGTCGACGGGCACGAGCTACGTCGTAATGCTGACTCATAACGCTGCATCAGTACTTGCATTCTGAAATTACAGACTTCATTCCGGTGGGCTTTGATCAGATTCGGAGCAATCGAGCAACTACAGTGATCAGGCTGATTATGGACGTTGATTTGCCGTCCAATTATAGCCCGTTCAATTATTAGGTTGATGCATAATTATTGCGGATTTTTTCGCCGCTTTTTTTCTCTAGACTAAATTAACTTTTAAATTCGGGATTTTTTAGAAATAATCTTCTCACTTTCCTTGATAGAAATGTGTCTAGAAAGTCATCTTCATATACGCCACATTATGCTCTATTACTTCGAGAAATATTGGGAGGCGGCACCACTCATAAGGTGATCTCAACGAACTTCTCGGCGATGGAACAGTCAGCCAAAGCCGGATGAAGAATGAAATTTGCTTCTACGGTCGCCCACGGTCGCCCTATACACCAACAGAAGCTCCTATGGATTATCACGTTGATCGCCCGTTAGNGTAAACGAACAGAACTTTCGACGAAGTGGATGGCTTGATGGCCAACGTCGAGGCACGATCGCCTCCAAGAATCGAAAGTTCTTCGCCTGTGGATTCCGACCGCTTAGCAAATGGGAAGCAGTGCTTGACGTAAATGGTGGATATGTTCCTGAGCAATTATTTAAAGAGGTAAAGAGCTGCAGAAAAGAGCGCGAGCCAACTCTGTGCTTCCACGAGTAGTCTTTTTGGTCAGACAAGAGAGACGTCCAAGTTAGATGGCGCTACGTTACTTTTGAGTCTCAAAATCTTTGAGGGCCGTAAAGTAATTCCAAGGGTTACAATCCCAAGAACTGAATTCACCGATTAACAGTACAATGTAAACATTTTGTTATTGTTTGTTATTGTTGTTGTTTGTTATTGTTATATTGCCTTGTTCTGCTTACTGTTTTGTTAACTGCTATCATTTCGCTCCCCAAATCTTGCAAGGATAGTGAGTTAAGGGCAGAATTTAGGCCTCGGAGAGGCTCGAACCCCTTATATTACGGGGACCTCGCTCACCTTCGCCTTCTGAATAGCTAATTATGCCACAGCACTTATCAGCACTCGCACGTACAAACCGATTAGTAAGTGAGTTTGTTGTAACCCAGTTTTTTGTTCGACGGAACACCACTACCAAGCGTTGGTACTTTACTGGTACACCGAAGTTTCAGCAGGAATTAGCATTTAATAATAGGCTCGGTTTAGGTTATGTAATGTAGATGTGGATTCTGAGTTATGACTACAAAACATTTAACATTTTCCAGGCACAACGAACACCAAAAGTTCCCACATTCCAGTCAATGACTACAAAATGCATGAAATCCAGCCAGCGACTAGACTGACGACGATAGCGACTTCTCAATAACTGGATATAAGTTGCCTTTACTTGGGAAAGGATTGGTCATGAAGCCTCATCGACTTCACGTCACATTTGATTATCGCCTCACCTTTCAAAAGAAAATCGGAACGATAGGACGGCTTTCCGTCTTCTATGCCTAATAAGCACGTGAAGAGTCCTTGTCATAGGCGATTCGTGATAGTTGTAGATTGAAATGGTTGTGAAGCAGTGGAGGATCCTCAACGGGGTCGGGTTAAGGGCCTTCCAGATACCGTACAAGGACCGTGTTCGTGCCAACACTATGAACATACTTTCGAGCACTGCTTATTAGGCTGGGCTGAATGGCTAGATAGTTGGTACTGGCCAGAAGATTGCTAGAGCACTTAATCGGAACCAAACTATTAGTTCACTCATTTCAGTTATAATGTGACTTTTCTTCGACGATTTCTAGGAGTTCGTCAGCTCCTTTCCGCATTCTATGAAGGCGTAATAGTCGGATTCGATCCCAACTCATTTTTATCTTGATAACCAAACTCCATGGGAAAGTGATCCTTACACGCGACACGCTCAGCAATCATAAATTCGTATCGGGTAAGGAATGAGAATGGCGGAAGTGGGATAGTACCAGATGACGCTCAAAATTTTAATGAAATATTGTGATTTCTTGCTGAGGAACCCGTTTTAGTTGATTTTTCAATATGAAAATGAGTTCTTCTCAATGATAATGAACTTGCTGACCCTAATGAAAGCCTGACATACAATCGAATTTAATGAGTGAAGCAGCATCGGAAAAGTAAAGAAATCTCAAAGGACCAGAATGCACCACTCAGCAATTCAACAGAATGCAACATAGGAACGCCGAAATGAGTGCGGTAATATGGAAGGAAGACTTTAGAAAAAAGTACAAATGGCCGAATTTCATGGAGAGATGACAGCATTGGGTCGTTTCTTCGCCTTTTATGGATACATCAAAGCGTGCATCTTTTTATCTTTTCGGAAATTCGGTCAGTTTCGAAGGCAACTTCAGAAAAGCCGACATTCGTAAAGTAAGATAAGATGGGCCGGCCGTCGAATATTTGTCACCTGACGACTTTGGTGTCAACCGTTGGGAAGCCGCTAAAGAAACATTGTGTCAAGGAAATCGGACCCTTGTTAGAAGCCTATATTTTAGACTTTTCAAAGAAGGAACGTCGACGTCAAAGAGTCAATCAAGAAGATAGAATTTTGGTTCCTATCAAATCAGTTTTCAGGATGCGCCAGAGCATTTGGCCTCTCTTCAGGATCGTAGCAGCATTCGGAATTTCGGGCTTTACGGTACCTTGCCGGTGCAAGCCTGTGAAGAAGTTTGTGTTCTTACTATTCGACATAACTCTGCTTCGATCAAATATCCCAACATGAAGAGGACGTGGTTGCTTCAGGTGCGGATCGATCTGGGGTTCGATCCTTTGGCCAACGTGTGGTAATGACGATGCTTGAAACTACCCTATCACACAACAGAAAGCCTCATAGCTGGATTCTATAATACGCCCAAAAAACCACAAGCAAGCCCAAGTACACGTCGACTTCGTTACAGGAGCATGAACCGGAGCACAAATGAGAAAAAAGACCGGCAAAGGGTTCTTCTCCATATAGGGCAGTGGCTCAGACAGGGAAACCCAAAACTCCCTAATCATCCACCTAAATGAAGAATTTTTCTCTCTAAAATCTTTCCAGTTCTATGGAAGTTGGATCGTACATATAAGCCGCTTTTGAATGCAAGACGTTTTCTGCTGTATCAGAAGAATAGGCGAAAGAAAGAAGAAAAGTGTTAAGAGCAAAACTGTGAGGTGTTTTCAGAGGTGTTATGCTTAGAGCGCCTTATGGAATGCGGACCCACTATCGAAAGGATTAGTTTGTTAGATAAGCAAGTGATTCACCATGCTCCACTGGCAGAACCGAAACACGAACCCGACAAAAAAGGACATCCCAAGATATATAAAACTCATTCAGTCGAGGGTTTATACTTCTGGACCACGACTTCTGTGTTGCATAACTACAATGCGTAGTGGCAATCGATACCGGGAATGTGCTGTGCGGTACTGTACAAGCTTGGCAGCATTTTTCAGGAAAGAGGCAACAAAGAGAGGAAAAACGAAGCTGTAAATAGAGGTCTTAAAAAACCCGTGCACACTGCTCAGTAAGTAATTGACACACGATCAACACAGTGACCAAAGGAAGAGAATTCTTTGTCGGGGCCTGAATCCATACTTATACATCCCGGGCACGAAAGATGACAAAAAACAACAGATAAACAAGACTTGGTGCTGCTGGTGGAAGGGCCTAATTAAAACATAAGAAGAGAACGGTTAGTTCTCAAATAGGCTGGTCAAAAAAAAAACGATCGAAGCATCGCCGTCAATGGGGTTTTACGGTTCTTGAAACGTTCGACTGAGCCTTAGAATTGGACCACGTAAGGGTCCTTGAAGTAGTGTCGTGGCCAGCACCAACGGACATGAAGACAAACAGACGGCAACGAAGGCGATGATAGCATTGTCGACGTTGAAGAGGACTGAGGAGGTGGAACAGGCGAGAGTGATTCACACGGTGCGTAAGATTCACGATGAATGCGAATACCGCTACGGCCAGGGATGGAGCAAAGTATTGGCAGAAAAGTAATAAATCAGTAAAGTGAATGAGTCCGGCCAGCAAAGTGGGATCGATGAGAACTCTGTTATTGGGAAGGGCAGGTTGAAGTTGAATGAGTGCAAAGCCCTTTCGCGTAGCAAATCTCTTTGTGAAAAGGTCATCAAATTTAGTGTCAATACACACTTTGATCAGAGGTGTAGTGGGGTTCTCACTGTTTTCAACCCAACCCAAGCTAAATTCAGTAATGCTCTCTGGAAAATAAATAAAAGAATGAAAGAATAAAGTCTTTGGACGTTGATCAATCCCGTCTTAGGGATGGCGTGGTTGGCCTAGGCGGATACCAGTCAGGTATTGGAACCCGTGACCATGAGTGTGAGATAGTGAGCAACTTGCCATTACACCATCTCCGCCATTGTGGAACAAATGCTACATATTAAAGAGGAAGACTGGAAAATGCTCTTATCGGGAGAGCCTAGCCAGACCTTACCGGCTCCTTGATTTGGGAATTTTGGGACAAAGATGTACGGAGGAAAAATCTATGCAGTAATTCGCTCCAGCGAATCAAAAGCAGCGGTTATGGCATACAGGGGAAGAAGCGGGAAAATGGGGGGAGGAAATGGGTTGGGAGGCTGTACATCAATAAGCAGCTCGCTGTAAGCGAAGGGCAATTACTGCTATACAAGTAGTCAGTAGGTGGTCATCTCGCCGAGCATCATGCCATTCGGGAGTATCACCCGTCACCCACTCACGTCAAGGATCAGACTCAAAATGAATTAGTGATTCATTTCAATGACAGTAGCGAGTTTCCGTAAAAATTGCCTTATCACTCTAAAACGGATGATGACTCAATAGCTCGGCACTATGCTAAAGCTGGTAAAAAAAAATTCGGAGGGAAGAGATTTTCAAGAATTCTGTAGACCTCAAATGGAATGCCATATGTAGTGTAGCTACGGCCGTAAAAAAAAGTACTGA